CTGCGGATTACCACCTGCCAACTTTCTGTATTTATTTTCTTTTTTTGTTTTTGTGATTTTCTTGTTTTGTTTTACTTTGTTTTTGCTTTTCCGATTTCGGACAGTTGGCCCCATCCGCATCCTGGCGCCCGTTTTCAAGTTCCTCCTTTCGGATTTCGGACACTTTGGCGCCATCCGGCATTCTGGCGCCCAGGACCGTACTTGAGTCCGGTACTTAAGTACGGACTCATAAGTAACGGACTCAAGCACAGTACAGGCACGAAGTTTTCAGCCTCGGTGCTTGTGTTCAGTGTGACTTTGCTTCGACATTGTGTTCGGGAATTCAAGACTGTGACTTTGCGACCTTTGCCACTTTGTGTCTGCGTCCGTCGAGTCGTGTCGAGTCTGCGTCGAGTTGAGTGAGCGTGTGTGTGTGCTCTAGCTCTCCCTCTCTCTCCCAGCCTTGCTGCTCTGCCTCTGCCTCGTCACAGTCTGTGTTTTATGTACCGGTAGGCTGATAGTATTCACACTGCTGGTCCCCCAAATTTATCCTTGGCGGGGCACTGGTGGTTATGAGGATCCGACATGCTCAAAGTCCTGTTTCTCCATCTAGGCAGTGCAGGTCAGAAGATGTCCGGAACTCGAGTTGTGATCTGGTTTTCTGGACGCATTGATCCATGTAGACGGGCAGCTTGTTTGCTGCCGTGATTGGTCCAGTGTTTGGGTCCGCAGGTACCATGATTTCCTGAGGTCAGCACTCGTAATTGTTTTTCATAGTTTTCGGAAGTTCTGTTTGAAAATTCAGAACGTGAAAATTTGCCAAGTTGGGTGCACCCAAAATTTCTGTAAAAGCTGCTGAAAGCTAGGCTGTTTTTCGGGGCGCCCAGGCACCCAACTTCTGCCCAGGTACACGCCCGGGTGCCCGGCCGGGCATGACCCCCGGGCAGGGTTCCAGGCAGCCCCAACACACACAAAAAAAAAAAAAAAAAAAAAGGGAAAAAAATGTGTGGTGTAGAATTGAAATACGAACGACTTTTGGCTGAGGGTCACATTATAATTCCTCACAGAATCGGAGACAAAAAAGAAAATAACAGAATCGCACAAAGGCACCCCCCTTTAAACCCCTTTAGCCCCTTTAAAACCAATTTATACTTCCCTCCCCCCCCCCTTGACAGCCAACTCGCAAAAAAAGTAATGAGCCCGGATTTGCGGTCCTCGGGAGAGCGCAGAAAGGGTACCCCGGGCATCACGCCTGGGTGCCCGGCCAGGTGTGAGAATCTTCCTAGGCTGAAAGCCTACAGGCGATACCCTGGCCCACCTGCATGCACATGATGAGGCATTTGAAATGTGGCAGGGGCAGTGTTGGTTTAATTTGTTGTGGAATTGACATGTTTGCAATGAAACCAATCTGAAGAGAAGCTCGTCAATGTCGGAGCACAGAATGTCACAGCGCAGTTTCAGTGTCTTCAAATTCGTACATTGCCCAACGTCTGGTCACCAGAGAAGAGGATGGTGGAAGGGAGATAAGACTTAGAAGGTGGAAGAGAAAGTACCCATCAACATAGCAGATAGATATCCCTCACAATCCCACTTCTTTTCGGGCATCTCCCTCTCGCCATATCAGCAGACAGTCCCCTCTGACACACTCTGACAACGAGCTTATCTCATCATGGCGCTTGCCAGCGCAGACACCTTATGAAGATGGACAGCAGTGCGCAATGTCGACTACGAATGCAAACAGGCAAGCTTCCCCCACATTGATCAATCTCACATCGCTGATCTTTATCCTCCTCGCCAGTACCCCATCAATGTCATAATCAGTGTGGCAAGAGCCACGTCAGCATAATCAAGTGTCCAGCTGGTGCCGAAGACAGAGAATGGCGCCAGCACACAGCATTAGCAGTCCTGCGTTGCCGCATCAAGCTAGCGTCCAGCCAGCGTCAAGTCAGCATGAAGCGAGCGTCAAGAAGCATGTGCAAGACTGAATGTCGGTCAGCAGGGGCTGGGTCGACTTATAGTGTTGACTCCGGTTGACCAACACTCCGGTTGACCGGCCTCTGGTCTCTCAGATACGATGACCCAGATTGTCTCGCAGCCAATGGCCTGGATCCCATACAGTTGCAGATTCCCACTTGGACTTGATTCCTTACACATACCTGCAAACAGCCAAAGGTGTGTGTCTGATCAGCGGCTTGGATTGGGTTGATGTTGACTTTTGGGCCTGAATTTCCGAGCTGCAGTTGACCTTTGACTTTCCACGTCCCACGTTGGGCCTCTGAAGGCCATTTTTGGGCCTTGCTGCGGGTACCCCACAGTAACAGTCCTTTGTTCAGGCAGTTTACATGACTTGGGTGTGGCCTTTGACCCGTATTTCGGCCCTTTGACCAAAATGACGACCGACAGCCCACGACTGATGCATGATTTGAGCTGAGGTATTGCATGTTTGGTCAGGAGATCTTCACTAGGAGACTCAGAGTGTGTAGGTGTTATTTGAAATGTGGCAGGGGCAGTGTTGGTTTAAGTTGTTGTGGAGTCGACGTGTTTGGCCAGGAGATGTTCACTAGGAGAGTGTGTAGGTGTTATTCCCATCGACTACTGTTTCCAAGGACATGGAGAGAGGACCAAAACTCTAGAGCGCTTTCAGTAGTGGCGCTCCTGCTGTCGCTTGGAGTTCTTGTGGTGTATGGCTTGGCTTGTGGAGTGTTTGTCGACCAGCTCAGAGGCCTTTTATCACTGTGGGATTCCCAGTGTCTGAGTATTGGAAACAGTATGGGTGCAGTCAGAGCTTTTTAGCTGTAGAGGTCCCAGTGCTGAGTGGACGTTTTGTCTATATGTTCAGCCTTTTGGCCGATTGGGAAGGAGCAAAGTTATACAGCAACATCGTAGGATTTGTCAAATCTATTGTTTGGGATGCTCTTTGCTAATTGGAATTTGTTTCTAGGCACCATTAATGGGATGTACCAACTTATGATTGCCTTTGGCTGTTGCGTACAGTTTAGTATCTTTTTTTTTTTTTTTTTTTTTTTTTTTTTTTTTTTTTTTGTAAAGGGCGACAGCCTTGAGATATAATCGTGCAACTGACCGGCCCTATAGGTAATTCAAGAATCTTGTTCATCCGGTTCCATCTGGATTCGAACTCAGGTCTGCATTTCAACAACAGTTTGTGGGTGTACCAACGAGCTGAGCTTAAGCNGCTGCTCCTATTTTATGTGTGCAAGTGTGCCCTTCAGGACAGACGGGTCTGCTGCAAGGAACCTGACTGTTCACAGCTTGCTGGAGTGTTCACAGTGCATGCGTAAATGTCATCACACAGATAAAGTAGTCTCACACAAAGCCAAGATGAGATGGAATGAGAACCAGATAGCACAGCTCATATTATCAAAGTCACATTATACGAAGAGTATCTTAAGTTCACCAGCGCCAAACAGATCACAAGTCTTCTTCAATCATTCGTCAACAAAGGGCTTGGCTCAGCCAGCATCTCCCCTCAGATCACAGGTATGGCGCCAACAGGTAAGTATCCACCATATCCAACTTCATAACCTGTCTTCTCTCTCTCCCCCTCAAGATCTCTGTCCTAGTTCCCTCATCTCAACATGCATGCACACTCCCTGTCTACGAGAATCTACTTTGAATGCTACTCACTGATATCCTACTACTAACCCTTCTACTACTACTAACACAAGCTGGCGCAGCTATGGCCTTCTGCAGCCAGCGCCCAGCACTTCTTCCTTCTGGCGCAGCTCTCAAGCCAGCGCTCTCTCTCCTGCACTCTAGCGCACAAGTGCCACAGCACTTCCACGCATCAATGCCAATGGAGAATCTGCCTTGTGGGGAGGCTGCGTCGTTTCTTATAGTGCTGGCCTCCCTTTGCGAGGCCTGAATTCAGTCTTTCTTGGGTCCTTTCCCAGTCCCAGGCCTCTGTGGAGTGTGTCCCAGTTCCTTATCCTCAAGGTCTGCTGCTGCTGCGGCCTTCAGGCCTGAATTTCGGACTTCCAATCTGTATCTAGACTTTCCCTTTGAGTTGAATCTGGACTGGGACCTTATCTCTTTGACCTCTTTGCGAACAGACACACCTACTGTTCAACAAACACACTTATTGCACAAACAGACACATCCCCTGTACGAACAGACACATCTCCTGTTCGAGCAGACATGACTTGCACACCCCCTGGATGAACAGATGTGACTCCCATAATTGAATACTGCAACTGTTCGTCCAGGGGCACAACGGCGACCTTTGACATGACCTTTTACCTTAGTTAGGATGTGACTTTTGACCCAGAGAACATGTCTTTTGATCTGCTTTTCATGAATTAGGCTCTGGCCGAGAGACCCATTATGCTGCATTCGTCATTCAGGGTCTGAATCGGGTAAAGGCCCTTTTACTGCGGGCACTTAATGCTTAACCCTCATGAGCGTGGGCAGCCTTACTGCTCATTTTGATTCCAAATGGAAACGGATGGATTTGGGGGTGATGTTTGGAGATAGCTTAAACGAAAGACACACTCACACATGCATCTAAGCGGGAAAGGGCTTCCTGTGATGTATGTGTGTGTGTGTGTGTGTGTGTGTGTGTGTGTGTGTGTGTGTGTGTGAGAGAGAGAGAGAGAGAGAGAGAGAGAGAGAGAGCGAGAGAGAGAGTGCATGTGTGTGTGTGTGTGTGTGTGTGTGTG